CAAGGCAGCGGGGCGGTGTGTGAAAACCGCAGTCCATTGGGGGCGGGTGTCCAGTTCATCGGATCATACGCCCTTTGGACAGGGTCAAACATCCAAGGTAGCGAATAAATCTTGATACCCAATCGAGCCGGTGACCACTGTCACACCGAGGAGGGTGTGAGTTAGTGTGGTTCGTACGCCTCCTCATGGTTGGTTTGGTATCAGGGTTTTCGGCCAACTCCCCTAGGTGAACTATCAGTGATCCACCAACCCGGTTATAGCCCCAGATATCAGCTTCTCGTCCGCTCATTTTGGTGGGAAAACACCTCCGCCAAATGAACGTAGTGAGTAGTAGGGCTTCCTCAGCAAAGGTTATTTTAGACGGTTGATTTTATAGGGGCATTTCACGAGGTGCAAGGAAAGGGTAACCAACCGGAACCCTAGACACCCACCTCCGACCATACTGAGGCTTTCAGAGGCTAGTGCTGAGATGAGCGACCATGTACTCATATCCGATCAATCCTGTCTCAGTTCGCCGTCCTGGTTAATTTGATCTTCTCAAAAATCTGAGAAGGACAAAAATTAGATCTCACCAAATAAACAAACAAATGATCCACATGGGAAATGGAATGGAACAATACAAACAGCAAGCTACTGTTTAAATTCCAAATAATAATACCAAATGAGGCAGTCACTGTGAAACATGTGCTTATGTTTTACACTTATACTTTTTTGTAATGTCACAATTAGTTAGTAAAGCCTTTAAACGTCTTCATGCTTAACTATGTTTGTTCACTTAGTTGATTGAGTTTTTTTTAGCTGTTCTTAAGTTCCAGTTTCATTCTTACTGACCACCCCGTCCTCTCTCTCTCTCTGTTTTCGATCGCACAAATTTACTTTTCCCCTGCAGATTTCCGGTCTGTTCGCACGAGATGAAATGGATGAGGTTCTCAGCGCGCTGGTTCCAGTCATGAAAAAAGAGTTTCCCAAAAGACCACCGGAAAATGAGATCTTAAACGAATATTTCATGCAACGGGTACGAAAAAATTTGCATGTTGTGCTCTGTTTCTCCCCTGTCGGTGAGAAATTCCGTCAACGTGCTCTCTACTTCCCCGGTTTGATATCCGGTTGTACCATTGATTGGTTCCAACGATGGCCTCAGGATGCCCTGTTGGCTGTGGCCAAACATTTTCTCGGCGATTACGAAATCACATGCTCGCCTATGGTCAAATCAAGTCTGATCAGTTTGGTCGCGGACGTGCATGATGATGTGGCTGCTCGGTGTATTGCCTATTTCGAACGATATCGTCGTACCGCGAATGTGACCCCGAAATCGTACATCTCATTCATCACTGGTTATATGAAGGTCTATCGGGAACAAGTGCAGAGTGTGAACGAGCAGATTAATCGTCTGGGCTCGGGGTTGCACAAACTGATGGAAGCGCAGGAATCGATTGCCAAACTCAGTGTGGAATTGGCGAATAAAGAGAAAGAACTGGAAGTGGCCAATCGTGAAGCTGAGGCAGTTTTGGTCAATGTAATGCAACAGACTCAGGCCGCCGAGCAGGTGAAAAATAAAGTGTTAACTGTGAAAGATAAGTGTTTGGCTATTGTGCAAAATATTCAAAAAGAACGAGCCATTGCCGAGGAGAAATTAGAAGCCGCTCGACCGGCTCTAGAAGAAGCCGAGGAGGCTTTGAACACTATCAAACCGGGTGATATTTCCACGGTGAGAAAACTGGCCAAACCGCCACATTTGATTATGCGTATCATGGATTGTGTTCTGCTCCTGTTCAAACGAAAAGTGGATCCGGTGCGAAAAGATACCGAACGAGTAGGTTGTATCAAACCGTCATGGACGGAATCGTTAAAAATGCTTGCTGGATCGACATTTTTGAACAGTTTATTATTCTTCCCTCGTGATCTGATCAACGAAGAGACTGTGGATCTAATCCAGCCGTATTTAGACCAAGAAGATTATAATTTAGAAACAGCGAAAAAAGTATGCGGTAATGTGGCCGGTTTGTGCTCGTGGACTTTAGCTATGGAAAAATTCTACTGGGTCAATAAGGAGGTTATCCCATTGAAGGATAATCTGGCAAAAATGGAAAGCAAACTGACCGCGGCCAAGAATGATTTGGCTCAGGCAGAAAATCTTCTCGCTGAAAAAGAGGCTTTGCTGGCAACTGTTCGCGAACAGTATGAAGCTGCAATGCGTCGAAAACAGGAATTGGCCGACGATGCGGACACATGTCGACGTCGAATGACCACGGCCACCATGCTAATTGATGGTTTGTCCGGAGAGAAGGTGCGCTGGACCGAGGAGACGCTGAATTTGAAAGAACAAGTCAATCGGCTTATTGGTGACTCTTTGGTGGGTACGGCATTTCTCTCCTACAGTGGGCCGTTTAATCAGGACTTCCGATTCCGTCTCTCTTCGCACTGGTTCAAAGAGCTTGCCTCTCGTCAAATCCCGTACACCGTCAATTTAGATTTGATCAATATGCTCACTGAGGGACCGGTGGTAAGTATATCCTACTGAAACTGAAACAACTGTTTGATGTACCACACAGCTTTTATCTTGGCCAATTCCATAGAACACTGCAGACGGAAGCATTATATGAATAAAAGAAATATGAAAGAGCTCCAGCACGCCGTAAAAGCCCCCAGCTTCAGAAAGTGCGAGTTGGATTGGAGACATTGGTCATTTAGGAGGGTGAAGGCATCGGATCATATTGCATATGATGGAGCACTTCAACATGGTGAGGCAATTGAAAACATTTATGTCGTAATTGAGTGGTAGAAAGAAATTTTGATGAGGCAAACCAACTGGTCTGTTGAGTGATCTATCATCCTGACGAAAACGTTTTCACAAGTGTTTATAGTTGGGATACTAAGCATAGTTACTTGTGAGTGGTGGTGTGGGATAAGTTATATTTTTTTGACTGGCCATCCTTCAGACTTCACCTTCGAGCACAATCCTCAGTTCTTCCAGTCACCCCTACACTCGGAAAGCGCTAGACTGGCGTTTCACTCACAGTAGAGCTCGTCAATAGATTGTGTAAGGAATAGAAGAGCACAGATCAGGGATAGCGTTATTCAAATAGACGTTCTTCAGCCTAAGGGATCAATTATAAGGGAGCAGGTAAAATCAAGCGAGAATTAAAATGTCAACCGCAGTAAGTTAAATAAACTTTCAGTCTGATAAACAAAACCTAATTGAAAGTCATACATTGGTCACCATAAAGATTTACTCTAAAAATAGAAATGAGATACCTGTATACTATGCTGTGGGACATGCTTTCCACTAGGAAATTCGGTTGACAGTTTGATAACTCAGAAGAATTCTATAATTCATGTAACCGATCTACCTCTGAAATTGAAAATTTCTCTTTCTTCATAAACTAGTCGAACTAGTCGAATCCACGGATCTGACTGGCTACCAGTGAAGATCGTGTTCGAAAAAACATGATGGTTGGTCCCGATCTGAGCTAGATGTTCGATTCCCTGATAGGATTGCAGATGTACACAATTGTGGAGCACTAATGAGATCGAAACTCGAGTCTGTCGTCTTTCCGAGTGTATATGATTCACTGGATGAACTAGGGATTGTAAGTGAATGTTAAATTCAAGGGATGGTGAATCCAAATCAGTAACAAATTACCCGAGGGCGCTAGGGATCAGTTTGAAATTGATTGTTAAAAAAGGTGAAAACCTCTAAAAAATATGTGGTGAAACGTGGACACAAATAAAGCGTTTTTGCGAAAATTAAAGTGTTCGAAACACTTTAGGACACATTATACGTAAGTTGACTTTCATCAAGTTGGAAGAGTAATGTACCGTGGTTAGATCAGAACACATCCCTACCCTGGAATGCCCTTAGTTTTTAACTGGTCTTCATCGACCAATCAAGCCGGTGGCATGCAATAAAAACACGTATAAAAATGTTGGACTATGTTTACCTCTCAGTTCCAAGTAGCTGTAGTTTCCCAGGAGAGAAACTTCACTATACAAGATCTTGAATGAACCAATAAAAAGATTGTTTTTTATTCAACACTCGAAGTGATATGTGAAAGTACACATATACAAGCAGCAGTGCATTTCAAATGGACATGCAAGCACACAGATGCCCACATACTTCTGACAGAGTCAGGTACATAAAACCGTCAGTTGTTATGAAGGTTTTTCCTTATTATGCTTCGTACAAACTGATAAATTCAGTCAACTAACCGTTTGGCATTCATTCATCTGTGAATCACTCAACAATTCCAAAATTCTTACAACTTGTTGCCAACTGCCGATCTCTCAGTTGCACATCTTCCAGCGCTGCGTTGTTAACTTTCTCTCGCACGCACACACACACACGGTGAGAATCCGCATAGGTCGATCCTGGCTTCAAGTACTTTCAAAAATACCAGTTTTCTTTTTCGTACTCAATGCCTTTTTATACCCTCCCAACTCTGACTCTTAAGCAAAGCCCAACTATACGTCAATCCTGTACACGGCAGTCACATTTGAGAGGGAGCAGAACCTCCTAACCATCCCTGTCTCTCCCTGATTGTGTTCAGCATAAGTTTGTGTGTTGCATCGAGGATTGCAACCCTGCTCCCCCGAAGCAGTCGTTGGAGTACCGTTTTCATTCACATAAACTCGTATCTACAATTCCAACCAAGCAATTATTCTTGTTCATCTTTTCTCCGGTTTTAGTTCATCTTTTTCCAGTGAACCGTGCAGCTGTGAAACTCCTTCTCCGTCTCCACATTTCCAAAGGCCTTTGTGCGACAGTTTTTTAGGTTGTGTCAGTTCCCTCGGGGTCCACATTCGAACTGGTTACGGGATTTCAAATCCAGTCCTGTGAAATGAGGGAGAGAACGATGCATCTGACGTATCGAATATCCCCGTGCATTTCTCCATATCCCGTATCCGGGGGAACAATAATTACTTTCGAAATAGACGAAACAAGAATCAAATCAATAGGTCACTTTCATATTCCATAACAAGCAAATTTTCAGTAAAAACAGTAAACACACTGACTTTAGTGTGTGTGTGTGTGTGTGTGTGAATGAACTGAAAAGAGTATAAGTCATGACACGGTGAGGAAGAGAAATAAACAATTGTGTCATGAGAAATGAGCTGTCTAGCATCAATACATGCAGATTTTTGCTTTCAGTTCAATAAATACGAGATTGTTGCAAACGAAATTAAGCGAGACAGATAGTGCTCAATGTATTTTCGCGGGAAATTACAGTTCCGGTATATCAGAGTTGAAATTGAATGCGGATGATCAGAATAGATAGGAGATGATGAGGTTGAACGCAGACGGTGTAAAGCGTAATTGAATCATCCAGACGAGTCGGGTGTGGGTTAACTATGAAATTGACTAGGACTGCATGCGAGAAACGCTTTCGTAGTTGGAAAAGCTTTTTTTGTTCTAAGAGCGTCCAGTCATAATTCAGTTGGCAGACAACTCGCTAAGAAAGACGACCGGGGGGGGGACAGTAAATCCAGTGACAGCAAACATTATTAAAATAACTTGCCTATAACATAACCCTCAGATTTTCATAATTTTGAAGGTGCAAATGTCAGGTTTCTGAGCTAGAGAATTGTTTGTTCTGTTGATTGGGCATGGTTGAGGTTAGCGAGCATACCTGATACGACTTGCCAGTTTTACCTTTTGTTGGAACCCCCGGACCAGGAAACTTGGACGTATAGATCAAGTTAGGCTGCCTGGTTACTGATCTCCTGATCATTGTCATCGATGATTAGGCATACTGATTCATACGGCAGAGTGTCGCAAATAATGACACTTATGCATATTCCCAACCTCTTTGCAACCTAAGTCGAACTGAATTCTCTGACGTCATATAGACACTTCATCCGACATTCCAATCTTCATCCCAAACAGTAGACAAAAACAGACAGTAACCGAAACCACCACACGAAATGGAATCGTATATGGTCACATACATCGGAATTAAAAATCGATCATTCAGTATCGGTAACAGAATTGGAGAAAATTGATAACCCGGACCAGTTGTGAACAGAGCAGGAGCCTCGATTCAGTCTTCTGTCATATGATATACCTGATTTACTTGATTACTGAAAACTATCACCTGTGTCTATGATTTCTGCTGATCATTCCAGTCCCGAAACTCCTGGGGGGGGGGTTGAGGGGGAGGGGGGG